TATTAGGGTCCCAAAAAATGTTTTTTGCATTCCAGCTGACCTGAAAAAAAAAAAACCCTCAATCTCAAGAGATCTGCCTGCCCAAGCCTCCAGAGTGCTGGGATTAAAGGCCTGCACTACCATGCCCAACTATATCACTCATATATTTTTAATACATTTTCTTGTGTGGAGCATATTTTATATGCTGTTTTTCTACCAACCTATTTATTTTGCAAGTAAGCTCAGTTCAAATATTTAGGTTTCTACCTTGAAAAAGTGCAGGCATATCATTAGAATAAGATGCCTTCTCCAATAAGCTGGTAATAGAGTTTCTTCCGGTAAACCAGCTGTCTGTTCAAGATAAGGGGCTAGCAAATTAAAACTGGAAGTTAGTGGGACCATTAGCAATTTAATCTGCCTTGATGAAACAATTATTACATAACATGACAAGGGTTCTTTCGTTTCATCCATTCTTCGGTTTCTAATACATTTTCTATGTGGGCAATCTCTAGCTGTATATTCCCAAGTAAAATTTTAGAAAAGAGAGCCATAACTATTTTGTGACCCTATGAACTTAACTTGTAACTCTCTGCTGGGGGAAGCCTTGAGTATAAACACCATGGCTGTAAACAAGCACGAGGAAACACTGGCCTGCTATAATCTTTGGTTCCTGGGACACAAGAGGAAATACAGAAATGATGTGAATCCTCTATTTATTCCTTCATCTTTGAAAAGCTTAAAAGTCTAGGACTCTCCAACTAGAACGGCTATATCCCAAAGCCCTTTTAAAATTTATTTAATTGGTTTTATGTGTATGAGTGTTGCCTGCGTGTATATAAGTGCACCAAGTGTGTTCAATGCCCATAGAAGCCAGAAAAGGGCATTGGATCCCTAGAAACTGGAGTTATAGACAGTTGCTGACTGCCATGTGGGTGCTGGGAACTAACCTGGGTCCTCTGGAAGAGCAGCCAGTGCTCTTAACTGCTGCATCCTCTCTCCATCCCCTCTATCCTTTTCCCTTCAGAGCAAAGTTTGTATAATTATTATCTTATCGTGATTCTTCTCTTTAAATTTAAAACTCCATGGAATTATGAACCCATGGCCCTGCACCTCACTTTCTTAAAGTGCACTTTGTCACAGACATGACTGGTAGAACGGAGCAAGAAGTCCGGCTTCTGCTTCATCCCACCATTTTTGGCAAAGTTGGACCTATGAGCCCCACAGGCAGACTGCCTGTGCAGTTTTCTCACATAGAAAAAGAAACTGGGCAAAGGGATTGAATCTTCAGAAGGCCAAGGAAAAGCAGACACCTGGTCTAGGCTTAGAAGGCACTGATAACAGGCCCGGGGAGTTTGGGGAACACAGCCGGCCAGTTGCCTCTTTGTCCCTTTCACTGAAGATTGTTGCTCAAGATTGTCCTCAGTTGCCCCTCTGCAGGTTTAGGAGCGCTTCCCAGACCGAGGTTCTTGGGGCAGCATAGCTCTGTGTTCTCAGAGATCCTGGGACAGCATAGTCTGTGTTCTCAGAGATCCTGGGCAGCATAGTCTGTGTTCTCAGAGATCCTGGGACAGCATAGCTGTGTTCTCAGAGATCCTGGGCAGCATAGTCTGTGTTCTCAGAGATCCTGGGCAGCATAGTCTGTGTTCTCAGAGATCCTGGGCAGCATAGTCTGTGTTCTCAGAGATCCTGGGCAGCATAGTCTGTGTTCTCAGAGATCCTGGGCAGCATAGTCTGTGTTCTCAGAGATCCTGGGCAGCATAGTCTGTGTTCTCAGAGATCCTGGGCAGCATAGTCTGTGTTCTCAGAGATCCTGGGCAGCATAGTCTGTGTTCTCAGAGATCCTGGGCAGCATAGTCTGTGTTCTCAGAGATCCTGGGCAGCATAGTCTGTGTTCTCAGAGATCCTGGGCAGCATAGTCTGTGTTCTCAGAGATCCTGGGCAGCATAGTCTGTGTTCTCAGAGATCCTGGGCAGCATAGTCTGTGTTCTCAGAGATCCTGGGCAGCATAGTCTGTGTTCTCAGAGATCCTGGGCAGCATAGTCTGTGTTCTCAGAGATCCTGGGCAGCATAGTCTGTGTTCTCAGAGATCCTGGGCAGCATAGTCTGTGTTCTCAGAGATCCTGGGCAGCATAGTCTGTGTTCTCAGAGATCCTGGGCAGCATAGTCTGTGTTCTCAGAGATCCTGGGCAGCATAGTCTGTGTTCTCAGAGATCCTGGGCAGCATAGTCTGTGTTCTCAGAGATCCTGGGCAGCATAGTCTGTGTTCTCAGAGATCCTGGGCAGCATAGTCTGTGTTCTCAGAGATCCTGGGCAGCATAGTCTGTGTTCTCAGAGATCCTGGGCAGCATAGTCTGTGTTCTCAGAGATCCTGGGCAGCATAGTCTGTGTTCTCAGAGATCCTGGGCAGCATAGTCTGTGTTCTCAGAGATCCTGGGCAGCATAGTCTGTGTTCTCAGAGATCCTGGGCAGCATAGTCTGTGTTCTCAGAGATCCTGGGCAGCATAGTCTGTGTTCTCAGAGATCCTGGGCAGCATAGTCTGTGTTCTCAGAGATCCTGGGCAGCATAGTCTGTGTTCTCAGAGATCCTGGGCAGCATAGTCTGTGTTCTCAGAGATCCTGGGCAGCATAGTCTGTGTTCTCAGAGATCCTGGGCAGCATAGTCTGTGTTCTCAGAGATCCTGGGCAGCATAGTCTGTGTTCTCAGAGATCCTGGGCAGCATAGTCTGTGTTCTCAGAGATCCTGGGCAGCATAGTCTGTGTTCTCAGAGATCCTGGGCAGCATAGTCTGTGTTCTCAGAGATCCTGGGCCAGCATAGCTCTGTGTTCTCAGAGATCCTGTTCTCAGAGATCTCTTTGGTGCTTTATTCATCTTCTCCAGTCCTCAGTCAGCTTCCTGACTTAGTCACCCCTGGACTCCCTACCCCATCCTATATTTCTCTCTTCCACTTCTGGAGAGAAGCAAGGTGGATGTCCCTCTTGTCCTATATCTGCCAGCCGTGCCATGGAGTTCTCAGCTTGCACAGATCCCCCTTCGGCCCCTCTTTGTGCTCCTCCTCGTCATTTTCATTTTCCTTTTGCTTTCTTACCACACTTTTAATAACTATAAAATTAAAACTCATTTTAAAATGGGCATAATGGCACATGCCTACAATCCCAGCTCTTAGGAGGCACAGGCAGCAGGATTGCCACAAGTTTGAAGCCAGGCTGACGTATATACATAGTGCGTTCCAGGCTAGCCAGAGCTGCATAATGAGACTCTGTCAAAAAATAACACCCTTTTATAAACTGTTTCCATTCCCCCTTTAGACTGTGAGTGCTCCTTTCTGGAAACACTACTCTGTTTACAGACCACGTGTTGGTTTTTCTCCTTATTCCTGAGTTATGTAATTCAGTTACTTTTCTATTTTAATCCGGGAAGATCATGTTCTCCAGACAGTCAGGGCCCTGCTCCTCTGTTGTTGTTGTTGTTGTTGTTGTTGTTGTTGTTGTTGTGAGACAGGATCTCATGTAGCTGAGGCTACCCTTGAACTCCTGATTCTCTTGCCTCCACTTCCCACATTCTCGGGTTGCAGGTAAGCACCACCATACTCAACTCTCCCTTCATGTTCTTTGATAGAATCCACTGCCCTGCAATCTGGATCTTTCAGGTCTGTAGCCTTTTCTATCCATTTAGGAAGTAATGGCCAGAACCAACTGGAGACTATTGGCAATATAGGGAGGGATCCCAACAGCCGCTGTGTCAGCCTCAGGGTCCAAGGGATGCAATTTTAAACAAAATGAAAGCACCAGGTTTGGGTCAGCAGACCACTTGCCACCCAGCAATGCCTGGCAAAAATGATCACAGCCCAAGACTGACAGTGCCAGTTCTCTATACCCCATGTGAAGTTTGACCGGTTCCCTTCCTCCTCCTACCCCAACAAACCCCAGTGGATAGTGCAAGCCTTTCCTTCTGAACCTGTTCCTCTCTCACAGATGGAAAAAGACAATAGAAGACTAGCCAAGCCTTGCCTGACAAGGCGACAGGACGTGAGCCCGTTATTGCTGCTTACCAGCACACGCAGTCCCAAGAGAAAATAGCTTGTGTCTTGCTTTTGTTTGTTTGTTTTCTTTGGATTTTGTTATTGTTTTGTTTTGTTGGTAATGGGACTTCACTTTGTAGCCCTCCAACTTAAAATCCTCCTACCTCAGCCTTCCAAGTACTGGGGTTACAGGCGTGCACCACCATACCCAGCTCTAGGTCTTGACATTGAGAGACAGAAGCCCTCAGCATATGCCAGGGGTAAAATAGCTGTCAGGCTCTGGCCAGTCCCATCTGTTTCTGAAGCTAAAACAGTGCTGCATCATCCACAGACAAGATGCACATTTGAAAACTGTGAACAGCCAACGAGCACACATACAAAAACATGATCATATGGCATTGATGACAAATTCTAATATGTACATTTTTAACTCAGAAAACCAGTTAGTCAATGTTAGAAGTTAAACAAAAAAAAACTAACCCCTTGTCACGCAACTGTAACTTTAAATAGTGGTCTAGAGAGAGTGCGGCTGCATACAACCATCACTCCCTAGACATGGAGCCACACATGGAACAGATGCGTTTGTCTAAACAAATGTGTTCTTCACATGTGACCAGAAGCCCAGGGCAGTCACTCCCTTCTGAAAGCAAGAGTCACCACCACAGGACTTCAGTTCTGAAAGGACTGTTTACTCCATTGCAGTTGCCTTTTTTCCCAAGTTACAGAATTAACTTTTCTGGAATCATTGTGTAGGTTGGAGATTATGGCCCAATGTGGGTTTATCCTACCTCTACGTTTGACTGTGTGGTAGCAGATCCCAGGAAAGGCTCCAAAATGTATGGTCTTAAGAGCTACATCGAATACCAACTAACACCTACAGTAAGTACCTGTGTTACTGCACACACAGCTGGCTATAGCTTGCTCTTTTCCTCGGTTTCTATTATTGGCATTAGTGACGTTTTGTCTCTTTCCCTTATTTTGTAGAACACTAATCGATCAGTAAACCACAGATATAAGCACTTTGACTGGTTGTACGAACGTCTCCTGGTTAAGTTTGGGTCCGCCATTCCAATCCCTTCTCTTCCAGACAAGCAGGTCACAGGTGAGTGTGAGTAATGCAGACCACAGGATGACAGGTGAGGAGATGCCGCGAGCTTGAGCTTGTCCCCCTACAAACCTCCACAGCAGCACGGTTCATGGGTGTGGGGGCACTAGTTACTATATCTGTGCAGAAAGCCCCAGAGCAGACTATATATCTGTGGAAATTACCTGAACATCTAAGGGGAGTGTCTGGTAAACTTTGCTGTCGGAGAACTTGTGCATGTACCTTGAATCCCAGCAAAAATTGTTGTCTTTATTTTCTATTTAAAAAAAAAAAGTATACATTGTAAGAATGAGAGAGCTGGAAACTGAGAAAATAGAAATGATCTGAACTGCCTAAAATGGAAATAGACCCATGACTGAGGCAGGCTCTGCAGACCTGCCGTGTTGTTTCAGAGCAGCGGTAAATACCTTGTGGGGAAGCCATGGAGCCGCTGCATTGTTGATGCAGGAAGAGCCCAGCTTCTCCTGTGTCTTTGTCACTGTGTTACCTGTTCCCCTTCCTGGTTTATTGAGTGTCATACTTGTTCTACCTCATCTCTACCCCAAAAATCTGGTAATTGGAGGCTGGGGCAATGGCTCAGTGGTTGGGAGTGGGTACTGCTCTTGGAGAGGGACCAAGTCTGATTCCCAGCACCCATGTCAGGCAGCTCACAACCACCTATAACTCCAACTCCAGGGGATGCAACACCCTCTTCTGGCTTCCACTGGCACCTGAACTGATATACACATACCTTCAGACAGACAGACAGACAGACACACACACACAATTAAAAAATAAAAATAAATCTTAAAACATTTTTTAAAATCTCTGGTAAGTAATCCACCTGCTACTAGACCCCTTGTATATCCAGTCACAAAGGATTTGGTTCTGTGCTAAGGAACTGTCATTGTTCTTGGATCTGATTTTTTAAAATATTTTATTTATTATTTTTATTTTGTGTGTATGAGTGTATTGCTTGTATGGATGTGAATGCACCGTGTCATGCAGTGCCACAAAGGTCAGAAGAAGGCTTTGAATTCCCCTGGAACTGGAGTTAACGGTTCATAGCCGCCATGTGGGTGCTGGGAATCAAACCCGGGTCCTCTGCAGGAGCAGTCAGTGCTCTTAACCACTGAGCCATCTCTCCAGCCCCTTGGATATGATTCTTTAGCCTTATGTGGAACCAGGTAGATAAGTACTTAAGGACTCAGTGGATGTGACTTAGAATCCAGGTTTATTATAAAGAGATTGAGCTTCACCAAAGATTAGAGTTCCAGTAGAGAGGTAGAACGTGTTCAGATAAACAAAACTTGTAAGCATAGAAAGGAATGGACAGAGGGCGAGAGTGAGGCTTAAATGGTCCAAACTAGATGGTCTGGGAGAGAGGGGAAGGGGACATGGAGGGAGAAGTAAGGCCATTCCCAAAGGCCAGGGGAGGCTGGCGAAGGTGTGACCCTCAGTCAGCAGGAGTTGCAGAGCTTGGGGAGAGACGTTATCTAGCCTGGGTGGCAGTGCGGGGTTCGGCCACTTGAGTGCAGATCAGTGCCCATGGGCTGATCCTGGGAGCTGGGGCACTTCCTGAGTGCTTTCTTCTCTGTCCCTTCAGCTTCAGGCTACAGATGGGGAGACAAACCCCAAACATTAAACAGGCTCTCTTCTGCTTGAAAGGGAGTCTGTGTTTGATGCTGAAGCTTGCTGTTTTGTTATGAGATGTGAATCGGCTGATTTTAGCTAGATTATGTCTTCAGGATAAGAAGTCATTCTTTTTAAACACTTCATATCAATCCCAGTACTGAGGAGGCAAATGCAGGAAGATCTCTGAGTTTGAGGCCAGCCAAGGTTATATGCTGACACCCTGTCTCAAAAAAACAGAAAAAAACTTTATTGTACTTTGTTTTTTGTCTACTTTTCTCTGAAGTTTTTTGTGGAGATGGAAATTTTAATGTTTTTTTTTTTTGTTTTGGTTTGGTTTTTTTTTTTTTTTTGGTCTTTTTTGAGACAGGGCCTCCCTGTAGCCCCAGCTGTCCTGGAACTCACTATAACTCCAGTTCTAGGGGATCTGACGCCCTCTTCTGACCTCCATGAGCACTGCATGACACAGGTACACTTACACACATGCAGGCAATACACTCATACACATAAAATAAAAATAATTTTTTTTTTGGTCTTTTTGAGACAGGGTCTCCCTGTAGCCCCAGCTGTCCTGGAACTCACTATGTAGACCAGGCTGGCCTTGAACTGACAGAGATCTGCCTGCCTCTGCCTCCCGAATTTTGGGATTAAAGGCGTGTGCCACCACGCCCGGCCAGAAATTTTAGTTTTTAAAGAAGTTTTTTTGGGGGAGGATGTGTTTTTGCTTTATTTTTATTTTATGTGTGGTGTATTGCATGCATGTATGCAAGTGCACCCGTGTGTTGTGTTGTTCAGTGCCCATGGAAGACAGAAGAGGGCAGCAGATCCCCTGGACCGAGAGTCAAAGACAGTTGTTAGCCTCCATGTGGTGCTGGCATTCAAACCTTGGTCTTCACCAAGAACAGCCAGTGCTCCCAACCACGGAGCCATCTCTCCAGTACTTTTGGGGTTTTTTGTTGTTATTGTTGTTTTTGTTTTGTTTTGCTTTTTTTAGCTTGAGCTTGTCCCAGCCAAATGGAGAGTGAGGGCTGTACTGCTAGGCAGACAAATCCATTTTAGCATCCTGTGAGTGATTGCTGAAAGCTTCTTATCACTGGTGCAAGGGAGCAGACACCAAGGAGCTGTGGACTGCAGCTGCTTTCACTCAGAGGGTGTTGCTGGCCTGGAAACCCTTCTGTGGCGAGTTCCAGTATTCCCTCCTTTTACTGCCCTGATGGTGTTAGGTCATAACTTTCATTTTAAAAAGCTAGATTGTTTCCAGGAATCTTCAGTTCTTTGTAGATGTTTTAAATTTCATTGTCTTGGATTTCATGCTCTTTCCTGCCCACTCGATTGGGCTAGCACACACCCCACAGTGGACATGGCATGACATAGGTGCACTTATGTACATGCAGGCAGTACACAATGAGTGGCTGAGGCAGTTCCAGGATTTTTAATGCAGTGCTTATTCTCGACCAGATAACTCCTCCCTAGCCTATCACAGCATAGAGTTTGCAGTTCTTCCATAGTAAGTTTTCTTTAAAAAAATGCAGGCATGAGCCAGGGGAATGGCACAGCAAAACGAGAAACAGCGGCCCCCAATCTGAAGAAAGAGCTTTGACTCTCTCTCTGGAGGCGTGCCGAGGACACTGAGAGGCACAGAGCAGCATTATGTCCCTTCTCTCTTGTTTGCCTGCAGTCTGTGGAACGCACAAGGTCAGTGCTGTCCAGACTCGCCTCTCACTGAACTCCTGCACAAAGAAAGAAGGAATCCTGGTAGATGATATCATGGCGCTTATCCATGACTGTTTACAGTCAACATTTTCTGTATGTAGATTTTGTTCTTTGTAAAGCAGTAATGAAGGAACCAGGTTGTATTTTTGAGTGCCAAAGTATTATATTCACATTTTTAGTGAGAATTTAGGTTAGGTTTGTAGAAAGTGGGTAAACAGAAGTCCCTTCTACCCCCTTCTTACATATCTCTAGAACCCAGTATAAAAATTTAGCAGGCAGCTGGAGAGACGGCTCAGTGGTTAAGAGCACTGGCTGCTCTTGCAGAGGACCTGAGTTGGATTCCCAGCACCCACATAGCGGCTAAGAACCATCCTTAACTCCAGTTCCAGGGAAATCTGACGCCCTCTTTTGACCACTGCAGCATTGCACGACACAGGTGCACTTACATACATGTAGACATTACACTCATACACATAAAAATAATAAATAAAATATTTTGGGAACTGGAGAGATGGCTCAGCAGTTAAAAGCACTGGCTGATCTTGCAGAAGACCCAGTTCGAATCCCAACACCCACATGGCAGCTAACAGCCCTCCTAACTCTAGTTCCAGGGGATCTGACACCCACTTCTGACCTCTGAGGACATGGCATGACATAGGTGCACTTATGTACATGCAGGCAATACACAAAAAATAAAAATAGTAAGGAAAATATTGTTAAAAATCTACCAGGCATAAAATAATTCATGGTAGGCCAGCTGTATGTAAAGGCTTTCACAAGGAGAAATTTTTAGTAAGAATCATTAAATTTCAACCACTCACTAGTAAGAATCATTAAATTTCAACGCCAGAGGGGGCGTTCTGGCTGCCCCAGGCACAGGTGTCTGCTAGGTTGCTTCTGCCCTGAAGGAAGCCCCCCATCTTTCCAAAGGATGAGACTTGGCTCTGCACCACTTTGGCACTTGCTCTGTGCTCCCTCTTGAGTTGGTAGAGTTTGTATCACTGGAAGGACTGAGTGAGACCCATGGTTTCACATGCCACTTCTGAGGTCACACACTGTTGATAGGTAGGTCCATAGTACTCTTGTTGAAAGATTTATTCATGTTTGCTCTCCTAAAGGAAAGTTTAGGCTACAGTTTCTAGATATTTATTTTTAAGCTATATGCAACAAATTCACTCTATCTGGAGTACAGTCCTACCAGTTTTTATAACCACTGCTACAGCCTTTTAACCACCACTGCATTTGGGACGCAAGGAAGTTCCTTCACCTCCCAAAACTTCATTCCTTTCATCTCAGCTCCTTTCTCTAGTCCTACCCTTGGCAACACCTGATCTAGTCAAAATGTTACCATTTTGCCTTTTCTACAATGTCATCATAAACGAAAGCAATAATGCGTTTGAGATTCATTTATTTTGTTGTATCAGTAATTTTCTTTTTATTTCTGAGTGTTCCTAGGGTATATGGATATAACATAACTCTTACCCTTTCACTCATTGAAGGGCATTTGAAGTTTTAGTTTGGGGCAATTTTATGTAAAGCTGCTAACATTACTGGCACATAGATTTTTGTTCTTGATTTGTTTTTGAGACAGGAGGTCATTGTAACTTAGGCTGGCCTGGAATTCACTATGTATCCCACATTGGCCTCACAGTGACACTCCTGCCTCAGCCCCC